TAGTCATTAAAAATCAGTTTAAAGCATGAATTACTCTGCTTACAGTTGTGAAAACTTAGGTTCATTGAAAGACAAAACCTGATTTGTTTCTTTCCTACAATAGATATAAGTTGTTCAAAGGCAGCAACTTGTTTCTTGACTTTGCATTTTCCATTTTAAAGTATGACACATAAGACGTATATACGGATGATAAATAGACAAATGTCTTTCTAACATCACAGTTAATCTGACTTCAACTGCTTGCAATACTCTGGAAGTTTAAAATAAACTGAGGTGGTTAAACATATGGATTAAAATCTGTTAAGTTAGTTTATTCAAAGAATAAAATGCCTCAGCCAACAATTTGCTTTCTAATGAAATAATATACTGGTTCAGTGATCATATCTTTAAAATTTGATATCATAAATAGCATGTCATTACAAAACAGATGAAATTCTCTTGCGCACATGAATAGCTATAAGACTAAGGATCACTTTTTAGCTTTTCACAGGTTTTTTACATTGTAACTATTCATAACCATGCCTTAGCTTCTTTAATAGTCTACCACCTTTTGCAAAGAAATAAACCTAAAAATATTTGGCTACCTTGCAAATAAACTTAATAAAGAATTGTTGAATGGTTACTCTTTCTTTTAAACAAAAGTTAAAAAATGATACATATTACTCCTATCCTGACCAGAAATTAAACAACTCTTACCAAAAAGTAAAGTGAGAGACATTTAAATAATAAGTTATCAGATGACATTATAAACTTGAGGCATGTCAGACTTACAAAGTCTAGTACAGAAGTGTTTATGGACTAAGGTGAGTATATGCCGTGCTTCAGTCTTCTGGTTTACCTGAAAAAAACACTGAAAAGTTAAAAATAAAGTGTTTTTTCATTATTTTCTAAATTTAGTTTTATTTCCTTAATGTACTTCAAATAAAAAAGCACAAAAATGTATTTTTCTTTGAGTCATTTTTGATACACATTACAACATAGAAAATATCAACTTTTATGCTGTCTTTCCACATCACCATTTCTTTCTCTTTTTCCCACATCAACATTTCTAAATCAATTCCTGATTTAAAATTTAAAAAACAATTTTAAAAGACATATTGAAAACAGCCATAACATTTTCCCCCTTTAGTAGAAATGTACAAATCAATCTTCTTTAAGAATAGAATTTTAACTTTATGTTAATGTTTTATTTCCCCTATTTTAGACTATGAGCTGTTAAAGGCAAAGTTCATGTGTATCAATTTTTGAATAAGCTATAATGACATGATTCTTACATGTGAATTAAATTGGAAGATTAATAGGATGTGCCTCAGTGTACTTCAACTGCATGAGAAAAACTTTTAATTAAAACCCATTATTTTCCATAATGCTTATTATTTCTGAGGTTTGGGTTTTCTTTTAACTTTTACTGTAATAGGATTTCAAACCTTAAAAAATTTTTCTTTCTTGGAATAAATCACTGACTTAAAGTGACTAGAAATTTTGTTAGTGGAATTATAGGAATAACAAAAATATATTTTCCATTCCATAATTTTTGTTTATGTTAAAGAAAAGGGACATAAAAAGGCATATTAAAATTAAAGTTAGTTAAATCCCTGGTAATTTTGAAAAGAACTCACATACTGGAAAACCTGCTTTAAGTCAGCTTAATTAACACCAATTACTGTGATAATAAGGAAACACAAGAGACTCAGTTAACAGGAAATTCAAACACCACTAATCACTAATCGCAAAACTTGATTGCTAAGTAAAAACAGAAAAAGAAATCAGAGAAAAATATATTAAATATTACTTCATCTTTTTCTATCCCCAAATATATGAACCCCCAAATAGCATTTTGAAGGGGAGAAAAACATGATAGAAAATAAAATCACTAAGAATTCAAATGAAAAGGAAACATATCAAAAAACAATGTTGAAAGTACTCTTTTTTTTTCTGTATCCTAGTAACATATCCAACCCAAAAACATTTCAAAATAGAGGCAGAGTTCTTAAAAAGACATAGTAAAGCCAACTTCTGTTAATAACTTAAAAAAAAAATCAAAGAATGCTAGAATTCCCCCTTATGTTTATTGTACACAGGCCATAAAAGAAAAAGAATTTCCTGGCTTTACTTAAATTACTATAAACTGAATCCAGAGAAGTAACTAAAACAAAGTAAGTTCTATTCTTTGATGACTTTTACATGAGAAATCTTACAGAATTAACATGAGAAATACACTTGGAATAAATGTTACTTACTGGTTCCTCCTTAACAACTAGACACAGATCACCATCACTGGTCCGGGTACCAAATCCATTTAAAGAAGATCCAACCAAAAAAAGTCTGCTTTCTAAAGAAACAATATAGCACAAGGCATTATTAACATTTAAAATAGGGCCTTCTCTGGTGGTGTAGTAGGTTGAAGCAGAACTAAAAGCTAAAGCCACTTCAGCATGAATTCGATCCCCTCTGGGAGGTGATTCACATGGCAAGGCAGACCTCTCCTGACAGGCCCATTGCTCCCCTCAGCAGTGTACTTTATTGATCTGCCTGTTTTGCTCCCACTCTGTCTCTGGTGAATCATCTTGCCACCCCTGCACCTCTGGCCTGTACCCCAGCTCTGTATGCATAAAAAAATAAATCTTAAAAAAAAAAAAAAAAACAGAATACAATATAACGAGCATGTAAAATAGTGAAACATACGTGGAAATAACAGCTGAATTTCTCTCTGCAGCTGTGTTCGACATAGTTCTTTCTTCTTTAAATCACTTAGTTGCTGCTGACATGCTTCAAATAACTCCAGTATCTGTTGACTCAACTTGAATTCACCACATAAAAAGCAAAAACTTTGTTCAGAAATGTATACGTAATTATCATACAAAAAAATGTATATATATAAAACAATATAAAAATACAAATGGTAATTTTAAAATGTGTACTATTTTATTCACAGTTTCCAATATGGACTTGTCAGTAATTGAAATAGTTACTTTTAGGAAGTATCACCAAGACACAGAAAATTAGTCATAGACAATTCATAATGAGTATAGGCTATGGATCAGTAAACTACAACATTTAATTGCTGCCTGTTTCTGGGTGATACATGATTGAAAAGTTTTACATGGTTAATTTTGATGTAGTACAGCAACCTAAATCGTGAAGGAATTTCTCAGGCTACAACGCAAAGGTAAATAGAGGAAGATTACAGAGGGATCATAAATTTCAAAACAAGTGACAGCCTTCAATGACAAAGTAACACACCATGCAGTTCTAGGCAGCAGCAGCAGCATAGAGACTTTCAAAGAAAAGGAAATAAAGTCTAAAACTAAAAGGATTCTGACTCCCAAGGGACATCTGGTAATGTCTGAAATATTTTTATTTTTCATAAAATACCTAAAAAACCTCACCCTAACCTTATTTCAACTAAAAATTCAAGATAAACTTACATCAATTTGTATAAAGACTTCAAACTAGCCAGAATTTCCAAAGAAGTTTTATTAGGTGGGATTCAGAAGTTTGGATAACTTCTGATTCTTCTATAGCCTCTCATTTGTCCAGGGAACCAATATGTTCACCTAAAAACTGTAATAATCAAGGCCCTCCCTGGTGGCACAGCAGGTTAAAGCACAGCACTCAGAAGTTAAAGCCACCTTCAGCATGAGTTTGATCCCCACCTGACCCGGAGGTGACCCACATGGCACTGCAGACCTCTCCTGATCTGCCCACTGCTCCCCTCAGCAGTGTACAGTGTACTTCGTCAGTCAGCCTGTTCTGCTCCCCACTCTGTCTCTGGTGAA